TTTCCCTCTAGAAAGCATTCTCAGAGGTAGCTGCTTGAATTCATCTGAAATTCCTAATATCAATTAACAAAGTAGCAGTTGAGAATGCAAAAACCTACCAATTACTTTTTAAAATTTACTGCTAAATAAAAACTTAATTTTCATGTTTAAATTATTTTAAATATAATATCTAATATTTTTAGAGATCATAAGCTGAAGTAAATTTGGTTTAATCTTTCCCTTAAGCAGAAATACAAGGTGGGCCAAAATGAATCAAGTGAAAATACATCAATTTTCACAAACCTCTCTAATTTACCCACTTAATGAGTTTCCCTGGTTTCTGCATGAAAATGTATCACCTATTGAACATTATTAATTGCCAAATATTTATTAAACTTGCATTAGGGGATGGTGCTGTGCTAGGTGCTAAGAAAAATGGAAATGTATAATATGTGATTCTTGCTCTTTCTTTTGCCCTTCATACTTTTCTTTTTTCTGCCTAACTGGAAACTCTTAATCATCCTCTGAGACCCATCTCAGAAGACACCTCTAGTATGAAGCCTATCCCTCACTCCCTTCTCTAAGCTCTCACAGAACTTGTCCATACCTCCATTAAGATATCGTGTTGCATGTTATTCATTTGTTTATATGTCATCTATATATATATGGTATATATACTACACATTCTATGAGGACAGGAACCATGTTTTTCTTGGTCTCTCTCCTGTGTTGTTTTGTTTTGCTTCTGTCTTGCCATTGAATCTCTTGCACTAAGTATAGCAGACATTCCATATTTATTGCATGAATGAATGGATGGATGGAGATGGCATTTGAGTAAGGTCTTGAGGTTGGGGAAGATTTCCATAGGATTCTGGGGGGCGGGGAGGGATGGTAAATGGAGGGAACAGCCTGAGTTGAAGCTGGAAAGCCCAGATTTGTAAATAAGGTTGGCAGCCAAAGGAGTTACTGAGATGGGCACAGGTGGAGAGAGATTTAACCAAAAGCTGGAAAGGGCTGAGAATGTGGGAGGAAGTAGCAGGGGGAGAAGTTTGCAGTAATGAAGGCAGATTGATGATGGAGAAAGGATAAAGAGGCTAGTAGATGGCCCCAGGGTTCTGTCCTCAGACCTCAGCTCTCTTTGTTTTACAACCCAACATACTTGGGGCACTTCCTCAGCTCTAAGGTAGTTCCCACTCAGGCCTCTTTCTAGTCCTCTTCTTTTTCCTGAGTTCTAGAACCATCCAATGACTGAGGAAAGAGCCCTGGACTAATAAGAGAGAAAACTAGGTTCCAGTTTCAGCACTGCTAACAATTAACCATGAAACATTGGACAAGTCCCTTTAAACACATGCGTTTTTTAATACCCCACCTTGTTCCAGAAAGGATTTAGGGTGTCAGTAAGTTACTTATTATCAGGGCTTAAGTTTCCTCATCTCTAAATGACCGTCGATCTTGATGCTGCTGTCTAATATTCCTGAGGCATAGTTCTAACCATGCCAGTGCTCTGTGTTAAAATCTCAATGATTCCCAGCCACCTGCAAAAGACAAACTTCCTGGCTGATCATGGGAGACCCTTCCCGATGTGACTGTGTACATTGTCTCCCTCCTCTTCTCATGACCCCCATGTGCTGAGCCAACTGAACTACAACATGCCTTAAAGGTTCCTGCCTCAGCTTATCACCTGACCTACATTTTTCTGGCATCTTTGTCTATTGAAATCCTTGTGTGTCTTTAACTCTTTTAAGGTCTTTTCCAGGTTCTATCATTTATTTTAACTACCTGGTAACTTGTTTTAGCCCACTCCACCCTGCATTAAGTTGTCAGCTCCTCAAAGGCAGAGACCATGTTTCATTTATCTTTGTTTTCCCCCCACCTGGCACACTATCAGAGAAACTTGAATTGAGATAAATCAGGTTGAGACCAAATTCCAAAATCGCCTTCTCAACTCATAGTTATGGGTTTTGACAGCTGGAAATCATCTGAGGAAATCATCTCATTTTACAAATGAGAAAACCAAGGGTCAGAGAGGTGAAGTTACGTGCCCAGTCTTTCCCAGCTGCCCTTGTACAGCTCTTGCTTTGCACTGTTCTGGGGACACTACTTGCAGCCTTGTGATAGGAAGATCTGTTTCCACGACTCCTCTCCTTTTCTGGATGTAAGTGTCTTAACCTTGACATATTGCTCCTTGGGTGATTTTAGTTTGTCATTTTGGTACTGGAAATGTAGATTGGGACGGGAGCTGTTTTCAGTAAATTTGTAGATGCACTGCCTGCATGGACTCCAGGTGGCACCACTGCAGGCTGACTCCAATTGAGGAGTGAACAAGTAGAAAGAACAACGTCAAGGCTGGAAGGAACCATAGAGATCATTCAATTCAGCCTCTCATTTTTGCAGCAAAAGAAACCAAAAAAAAGACAGGAGTAACTTGCTTAATAACTATTGAGTGGCAAGTGAGTCATCAGCTTTATCAGCACAAGAGCACTGACTCTGAAGTTGTAAAGTCAGTTGCCGTATGTATGGGACTCTGATTGCCGGCTGATGATCTAATATGAATACTGTTTTATGTGTCTAGATCAAATGATGCTGTTTGGAAAAATTTCCCAGCAGTTCTGTGGCTTAAAGAAACTCCCAAGGTCACGTGACTCCCGATACTTCTGGGGCTGGTTGAATGCAGTGTTTAATAAGTAAGTTACTCTAACTAAAGTGAAGAAATGTGGGAATTGTTACAGCTTGATGAGTTCCCAGTAGCTAATTTGGTTATTTCTTGTGTTTCAAATGTTTTTTGTGTCGTGCGTGCAGTACGATCCTAACTTTCTTTTAAAGCAAGTAAAAAGTACAAGCACTGAATAAAGATCAGAAAAATAGATTACAGAATATTAACTGTCTGGGTTACAGGACTTAAGTGATTCTTATTCATCCTTTCAATGCCTTTCAAGTTTCCTGAAATGAACATTTATTACTTTTGTAATCAGAAAAGCTCAGTAAATGTAATTTTAGAATATTTTATTCTATGGCTTCTTAAGGGATGTAGTTAACCTTTTGAATACTATCAAGGGAAATCAAGGTTTTAAACAGTTGGTTGGGGGACTTCCCTGGTGGTGCAGTGGTTAAGAATCTGCCTGCTAATGAAGGGGACACGGGTTCGAGCCCTGGTCCCCACATGCCACGGAGCAACTAAGCCCGTGTGCCACAACTACTAAGCCTGCGCTCTAGAGCCCGCAAGCCACAACTACTGAAGCCCACATGCCACAACTACTGAAGCCCACACACCCAGAGCCTGTGCTCTGCAACAAAGAGAAGCCACCGCAATGAGAAGCCTGCACACCACAATGAAGAGTAGCCCCCGCTCGCCGCAACTAGAGAAAGCCTGCATACTGCAACGAAGACCCAACACAGCCAAAAATAAATTTATTTTAAAAAATAAAATAAATAAAAAGTTGGTGGCATGCTTAGAAATATCATTTTGAAACTGACAAAACTAACCTCCTTGTTGCTTAATATAGCATTAATACCACTAACTAGAGAAAAAGGCATATGTTAAAATTAATGAATATCACTTAATGACATTAATTTGGACAAAGGTTCAAAATTATTCCCTTTTTAATCTTTTGTCATTAATAAAAATGATAACCAAGTGTAGTCATTCATTCAAAACGTAGATACTGAGTACCTCCTGGTGTGAAGCTATTGTGCTACATACGAATCAATGAAGACTCAATGTCTGCCTGATAAACTCACATAAGAATAATATGCCTTGACAGAGTTCACTTGAAAACAAAAACAAAAGCAGAAAAGGTAGCAGGTAGAGCCATTGAATGTTTTCTTTACATGGATTTCACTAATATATTATCTCCCTCATCATGTGAAGTGAAAAGTGGTTGCTATTCTGTATTTACTTTGGAGAACATTGTTAAGAAGCTAGTGACTATAGTAAAAGCTACCTGCTTTTGTTCTCTTGCCAACAGAGTGGATCATGAACGCATCCGGGATGTTGGCCCTGACAGGGCAGCGTCCGAGTGGCTGCTGCGCTGTGGGGCTGTGGTGCGCTACCACGGCCAGGAGAGGTGGCAGAAGGACTACAACCACCTCCCAACAGGCCCTCTGGACAAATACAAGATTCAGGCAATTGATGCCACTGATTCTTGTATCATGAGCATTGGATTTGATCACATGGGTAACTCCCCTATCATTTGTTATGGGAAATGCAGGTGATTTGCAGTGACATTTGGTTGCAGTTGACTCACTATTATAGTCATAGGTGTGTCCTTTCTGCCTTTTTCAGTCCAATCCAGCTTGTTTCTTCCTGTGTATGATATTTATTTTTAAATTAAATAGAGGTTACAAATACCTTCCTCTCCTTTCTCCCTGCACTAAGCTTGTCTCTACATGCCTTTATTCTGTGCTTTATTGACTTAAAATTCAAGGCCTTGTTTGTCAAATTATCTTTGTCAAACTTCTGTCATTGAGAAACGCTCACGAATGTAGAAATAATTATATCCACACGGCTTCTGCTTGTGTGGGCATTTCTTTCCTCCAGTGCATTGGGCATCTGACTGCAGAATGGCCCTGTCCATCAGCACAACCTGTATAGTGAATACCTTGTATGGTTAATAGGGTGACTAATCGTTACTGTTTTCCTGGGGCTAAGAGGTTTCCTAGGACTTAGGACTTTCAATCCTAAAACTAGAACAATTCTGGGCAAACTAGGATAGTTGATCATCTTAATGGTAAAGCAGGTTCTTAAACTGTACTTTTTTTTTCCCCCAGAAGGCCTACAGCATGTTGAAAAAATAAGGCTATGCAAGTGTCACTATATTGAGGATGACTGTTTGGAGAGACTTAGTCAACTTGAAAATTTACAAAAAAGCATGTTGGAAATGGAAATAATTTCATGTGGGAATGTCACAGACAAAGGTATCATTGCTTTGCATCATTTAAGGTAGGTGGTCAGTGCCAAAATGGAAACTTGATAATGTTAAGGTGAATAATCGGAATTTAAAACAGTTGAGAGGTGGTCTCTTTAATTCTGAAAAATATAATTTATGAAAATAACTTAACTGTCAGCTATAATATTTTAAAAGTTTAAATTATCACCCTTAATATGTTATGGTTGTATTGCATTTTTTAGGGAGCATCTTTTTAAAAAATTGACCTACATAAAGCACCTAGCAGGGTTCCTATTACAGAAAGCTTTCAATAAGTACTAGCTATTATACTTCCTCCCCATCTTTTAATTTCCCCTGTGTTCTGCCAGTAACCTCAGCACCACAGAAGTCTCAGAAATCTTAAACATTAGAACCAAAAGTACTAGATTGTTGATCTCTTACATTAGTTGAGGCTTTAAGGCTTCACCTTTTAATACACACTTGGTTCCTTTAAGAACTTTCCCAATTTCTTTTCCTTTCTAGGTTAAGATTCATATTTTTAAAATTCAATTTACCTAAACTAAGAACAAAAACATGAAACCGTTCATCCATTTCTCCCACTCCCCACCCTGTGCCTTTGGCAACCACCAATTTGTTCTATGTATCTATGAGCTTGCTTATTTATTTATTTTTAGCTTCCACATATAAGACATCATACAATATTTGTTTTTCTCTGACTTATTTCACTAAGCATAATGCCCTCAAGGTCCATCCAAATTGTTGCCAATGCAGAATTTCATTTTTTTATGGCTGAATACTACATCATTGTATACATACACATTTTCTTTACCTAATCCATCAATGGACGCTTACGTTGTTTCTGTATCTTGACTATTGTAAATAATGCTGCAATGAATATGGGGGTACAGATACCTTTTCGAGTTAGTGTTTTTGTTTTATTCAGGTAAATACTGAAAAGTAGAATTGCTGGATCATATGGTAGTTCTGTTTTTAATTTTTTGAGGAACCTCCATGCTGTTTTACATATGACTGCCCCAATTTACAATCCCACCAACAGTGCACAAGGACTCCCTTTTCTCTACATCCTCACCAACACTTTCTAGTCGTTTTGATAATGGCCATTCTAACAACAGTGTGAGGTGATATCTCATAGTGGTTTTGATTTGCATTTCCCTGATAATGATGTAGAGTATCTTTTCATGTACCTGTTCTCCATCTGTATGTCTTCTTTGGAAAAATGTCTATTCAGATATTTTGCCCATTTAAAAAATTGGATTGTTTGGGGTTTTTCCTATTGAGTCGTATGAGTTCTTTATACATTTTGGATGTTAGTTCCTTATCAGATATATGATTTGCAAATATTTTCTCCCGTTCAGTAGGTTGCCTTTTCATTTTGTTGATGGTGTCCTTTGCTGTATATAAGATTTTCAATTTGATGTAATCCAACTTGTTTATTTTTGCTTTAGTTGTTTTTGCTTTTAGTGTCAGATGCAAAAAATCATCACCATGACTGATGTCATATTTTATATTTAACATACAAAGGAGTTCTATGCCATAATATACATAAAATATTTGGAAGAATTCAGCAGCATTATTGATAATTCAGAACAACTAAACTGTCCAAGGTCTGGCTTAGTGCCTAGCATGAATTTCATTTAAAGTAGTACTCTAAGACTACCATTCTAAAAGTCATTTTGAAAGTGTAGGATGATATGAACACATTCTGTGTGTAGCTTTTTTAAGTCAATAAAGCAAGTTTACTTTTAATGCTATGAGTAAAGGCCAAATTGAATTAACTTTTAAAAACTTCTCTTCCAGAAACCTCAAGTATTTGTTTTTAAGTGATCTTCCTGGCATAAAAGAAAAAGAAAAAATTGTCCAAGCCTTTAAAACATCACTGCCTTCTCTGGAACTAAAATTAGACTTGAAGTAAAATAGTAATATTCAGTAAGTGTCTTATTTCAATATAAAGTATCACGTGCAATTGTTGATCCTAAACAGCAACAAATATTACATAAACATCAACAGAACTACAAGAATCTTATACCACAACATTCTAGCAGAGTCCATCATGTAGAAAATAAACATTCAGATGTGATTCACCAAAGTTACTAAGTTAGAAGTGAGAATTTAGGTACGTTAAATCATTTTAAGAAAAATGCAAACCAGGTACCATTTTAATTCTTATATATTCCTTATTTTATATCAATCCTATATAAATATCTCTTGATGTAGATACTGAAGAGTTCTTTAAAATGATTTAAATGTACAACACAGATATTCTTTATTTTTAACAGTAATTTGTTACTTTAAAGTTTTTGAAGCATGTTACTATAAATATACAATTATGAAAAACTGAAAGCTAAATTTCAGATTCACTGATGGAGTCAGTTATGCAAAGTAGTCAGAGGTTGCTGGGGCATTCATATTGCTTCCCAGGATTCGCATGCATTTGTCATGATCCTGCATTCCTGTGCTCTTTATACCATACAACCTTTCTCTGAATGAACAGTTTCTGGCTAATTTGTCTATTTTGTAGGCTTAGTCTAGTGTCTTATTAAAACTAGACATAAATACCTGGCTGGATTTAAATAGCTTTGCTGATTGCAATAGAACAGAGGAAACAATGATGAAGGCCAGCAGAGCTATACTTACTTTCTGCTTAAATTAAAAAACTGCTTCAAACAGAAAAATTTAACATGTCAGTTAGAAACTAATTTGTATTCCCTCAGATATGTTGGATAGTACTTCCCATGAGCTCAAGGGACATCATAAGAAGTATAAGCACAAAATTCACTGTACATCTAGAAAGCAGTGATAAAGAATATCATAAATAGGTATAAACAGATCTTTATTTTTGCCTGCTTCAAATGGTCCTGATTCTATTATTGTTAGTTATATGCCAACTTGTTTGTGGATTTCGGTATGTTTGGTTTGAATATTAATCTGTTGAATATAACCTTGACTGGAGATAATTTTAAAATAAACACTTTCTGTGATGCAGCATTAAAGGAGAAAAATGAATTTTCGTTGTGTTAGGAACCAGCTTATGTAGATAGCACATACCATAAATGATGTACTGTTTACTAACACAATTGCCACTGTCATTTTAAAAATCAGAACATAGTAAATAAAAAAATGATAAGGATGTAGAATAGTCTCATGTGAAACAGTAGTGATTCCATGCTGAAGAAAAGATCACAGATATGGTTAAATTAAGTATAAGCATATATTTAATAGAACTCATTAGGAGAAAATGACCACTTCTATCTCAGCCTTGTTTGATTACTATGTGATGAAGCAACTGATTGACCACAGGTTAGTCTGGAGCTACTTTTCTACTCTGAATGGTATTCCTTAAAACTACTGGATAAATTAGGCAGTTATAGTCATCTGCCTCATCAGGTACACTGTTGGGGGTAAGGAAAAAAGGAAAAACACAAAATGTAAACTATTAGCAGAAGCTGGATGTCCTTCTTTGTCATTTGAATCAAGTCTACATAACAAGAATTAGATTAAACTGTGACTAGTATTTAACCCGCTATCAGCTCTATGCAAGAAGCTACATACATTAGGAAGCCTCAGGATATCACTAAACTGGCTGGGGTAGCCAAAATTATTGAACAGATGCCAGAATTTGGTGGATTACTTAACAGTAAGTGAATAAGGTCAAATGCTCTCATGAAGAAAATTAACACAGCAAACTGAGAATGCTGTGTAAACTGAGAATGCAGAAGAAAGGTTTTGAAGATACAGTAAAATACATCTTCAAAAACCATGGCTGTAAAATACATCTTCAAAAACCATGGCTGAAGACTGCTAGGAAATAGCAGCATATCAATCAAAAATGGGGTTGAGCAATAAGAAGCAGACATCAGCTTCATATTGCCCCTGTGTCCAGGGGACAGGATGAAAAAGCTTTTTGAATAGGAGCAATAGGCCAAATCAAAGCTAGTTATATGTCATCATTTTAAGTATCACTGTACAAAGCTAGGAATTCTCAATATCATTTTGGTCTATTTTCTTATTAGTTAACTTTTAGTTGTTAGGTTGGGATACACGCACACATATATGTGTGTGCACTATAGATATACACACATACACATACAGTGTAAAAAGATATTTCAGGGAAAACATCAACTTATAACCTTATGTCTTTTATAACCCAAGTAAAAGCTCATAAGCAGTTTCTTCCAAAACCCAGATCACTATAGTCCTGCCAGTATCTCTGCCTCCAAGTCTGAGGCTGAGCTGGAGAGAATGAAGTACGAATTACTTTCAGGCTGGCAGGCCCAGTTCCTGTGAAGCCTGTGGATCTTGTTCTACCCCTGGGTCAGCTGCCAAGCTTCATGCCATTGTTTGCAAGGGGAATTGGGTGAACAAGTGTAGATGGATTATAGTAAATCCATCTTGCCTGCAAAAATGACTAAGATGCATCCTTTACTAAAGGTAAAGACCAAGCTATATGTAAGAAATGTCTATAAACATATCATTAAATATATAAGCATGTAAATTATAGTCTTTTATGATAATCCATATGATTTTAAATATTTTAAACATCTCATATATTCAAAAAAGTTTCAATATATAAAAATCAAGAGCTAGAGCAAGCAGGAAATGGAATTTTAAACATTTTGGTTTCAAGAACCTTAACTCTCCTTAAATACGATGAGAAAATCTGAAAAGGCAGGAGATAGGACTCAAAGCAACAGAGATCCAAGGAAACATATATGGGCATTCTGTAATCCATTTTTTCACTTGTGGCATATGGTGCAATTGAAGCATAAATTTTTTTATCTCTAATTTTGCTGGAGGTATGGGCGAGTGCAGTAGATAGTTTATATTCTTTCCATAAGCTCAGCTACTTAGATACAACAAAAATAAAAGTGAAAATCCAAAGTTTTTCCTTTCTGTTCTGGACACCATCGTCAAACATGGAACACTGCCTCTGGCATGTCCCTTCATGGCTTGCCAAGTGGCCTCCCCCAGTTAGTTACTATGTTTTCTTCTGATGTTTTTTTCAACATTGTGATTGCTTTCAATCAAATATATGTTTTATTCAAATTAATGATCAATTCTTTTTTTTGTTCTCAATCTCCAAGCTCTTTAAATGTTTGGAAAACGGTAGTTAAGTTTCTTGGTGTTATAGTAGTACTTCTTGTTATCCAAAGCTGGGAGGATGCTGCTGCTAGTCAGCTGAGGTAGGTACTGCAACTGAAAATATGAAACACAGAATTACATTCAATGCCGTACACTTTTTTCATTATTGCTAACACATCCAAAAGAGGTAAACAAACAACTTTTCCAGCACAGAAATACTTTTTCTGCACAGAATCCAGGATCTGAGAAAGGATAAAATGTTTAAATTTGGTCTCTGCTCAGGGGCGGAATTGAAGGATGTGGAGCTCACGCCCTCCCATAAATTTGGTCTCTGCTTTTTCTTTTCAATATTTATTTTATATTATAAAGCAAAACATGCACATTAAAGGAAATTTAGAGAATATGAAAAAGAAGGGAAAATCTACATGTTAACATTACTGGGAAAAAACATAGATTCATGGGGGTTAAGAGCTTGCTGGGACCTTAGGGATCATTTAAGCCAATATCTTGTCTTGTAGTGAAGAAAACTGATGTCTGGAGCACTCAGGTGATTTGCCCACCTACTACCTTAGTTAAAAAGGCAAAACTGCTCCTTTCATGCTGCCAGAAAATGTTTGAATTTATCATCAATGTCAAATGAAAGTAAGGGAACACATTTCTTTTTGTACAGTACTATATGGCCTTAGGTATCTGAAAAACAAGTACTTTTAAATCAAACAATTGGGAACTACAAGCAACACACAAATTAGTTGGGTTCCCCTAGTCTTTCAAGTAAAAATATTTCCATCAAGACGCTCTTTTTTTTTTTTTTAATTGGTGCCTATTTCAGTAGCATATATGGGCAGGTGGCTCATCCTGAGGTTCTAGTCACAACTCTGCTACAAGTCTCACTTTCTGCCATTGACAATCCACTTTTTTAATTTTTTTTTTTTTTTTTAATTTTTGGCTGCGTTGGGTCTGTTGCTGCGTGCGGGCTTTCTCTAGTTGCGGTAAGCGGGGGCTACTCTTCGCTGTGGTGCACGGGATTCTCATTGCGGTGGCTTCTCGTTGCGGAGCATGGGCTCTAGGCGCGTGGGCTTCAGTAGTTGTGGCACAGGGGCTCAGTAGTTGTGGAGCACGGGCTCTAGAGCGCAGGCTCAGTTGTTGCGCATGGGCTTAGTTGCTCTGCAGCATGTGGGATCTTCCCAGACCAGCGCTCTAACCCATGTCCCCTGCATTGGCAGGCAGATTCTTAACCGCTGCGCCACCAGGGAAGGCCCCCTTTTTTTTTTTTTTTTGGGTGCGCGAGCCTCTCACTGTTGTGGCCTCTCCTGTTGCGGAGTACAGGCTCTGGACACACAGGCTCAGCGGCCATGGCTCACGGGCCCAGCCGCTCCGCGGCCTGTGGGATCCTCCCGGACCGGGGCACGAACCCGTGTCCCCTGCATCGGCAGGCGGACTCTCAACCACTGTGCCACCAGGGAAGCCCTAAGTCCCACTTTTTAAAGTTTTAATTCCAGTTTCTTTACAAGAAGGGATGAGATTTTCTAAAATCCCCGGTAATTCAAGGGTTCTAAGATTCTTGAACACAAAGAAACAGCAAGATAAGGGGTAACTCTGAGGGGAAAGTCTATTCCCAGTCTGTTTTGCATTAAAAGCATTCTTAATTTCATAAGTCTGGTCTTTTAGGGCCCTGGGTTTCATGCTGTACCTGTTCATAATGGACTGTCCACCCTCTTCTCTCCTCCAAACCTCACAAACACCACCCAGGTGCCACTCAGCATACTGGGCAGAGGAGGCTGCAAAGGGAAAGACTAAGACAAGATAATCTATAGCTTAAGGGGTACCTGAGCAAATCCGGAAGCAACCAGGAGCAGCCAACTCATCTTAATTGTGGTTCCAACTACAGTCCATCCTAAATTATTACGGCTTTTGGCTTATGACAAGACACTTAATGTAAGGCCATTCTGCCACTTTACACCAGTCACAATTCTCCACAGGCTCCCAGTGTGCAGCTTGGATGCTGTGATCTGGTTAAATGCACTGTTCTGCTGCTCTCACTGAAAGCACTCATCACCACATTTACACTAGCCAACTCTGATGATTACTGGATCAGGGAGGAAAACAGTTCCTTTTTTAGATAAACCTGGAGTGTCAGTCAATACTGAAGGTAAACATGATGACAGAGAGCTAACCGGGATAAATTTGATTTCGTTTTCCAAAGCATAAGAAGCACGCTTCTTGTCCCTGGCTGGGACCTGTGCTCATGCACACCAAAAGCCCTGGCCCCTGGCTGGCAGCAGGGAGCTGCTGGGCAAGGTCACCTTTAGGATTCTGGGAGAAGGGACCTTAGCAGGCAGATGTCTTTGGGACCCTGGTTGGTAGATCTTGTGACCTGTGTGTCCTCATGCAGGGATAAAGGTGCTGGAGCTGCAAGCCACAACTGCCACCTCAAGTATAGATTCAGACTCTCCGCACCAGGTGGCAGGTATGAGCTCATTTGAAATTACAACCTTGGATGCTTCTGTAAAGCAGTGCCCCATCTTTACCCGCGGCAGGTGCTTTCGGCTCTGTCTTAGGGTCTTCCCTGTTGATTTCTCATGCTCTTTTGCCAAATCCCCTATTTCTCTGATGCTGTCAAAATATGGATGCCCCAACAGCTGCTCACATGTCAGTCTCTCGGCAGGATTCATGTGGAGACAGCCCTGAAAGAACAGAAAATACCCTCTCCTTACTTCTTTAAAATTGCATTAACTTATTAAAGTCATTTTCTTCTTCTTTGAAAGATTAAACTCTTCAGTTGGGAACAAAAGGGGGGAAAACTTTCGTTCCTTCCACAATCATTCATGGGTAACCACGTAATGGATTAATAAATAGTTTCTAGGAATAGTAACAAAAAAAATCATTTTCTCCACCTTGTTCTGTTCCTGAGGCATTTGGCGCTCTGCCCTGAAGGAGTAGGATACGATTTTTGAGTTCACCTCAGTGTCTCACTAGAATAATCCACTTAACCCATTTGGTTCCTTGCCTGTACTTAGTAAAAACTAGTTTTTTATTTAAAAAATCACACATGGTAAAAATAAAATTTATACAGCATGTAGCAGAGTCTCTTCAGCACTCTAGTTCTTCCATTCTCCCTTCTAAAATCAGTTATTTTAAGTATATTCTTCCAGAAATAGTCCATGCATTACAAATATCTATGTGTATGTAAGGAAGGAGAGGCATAATATACATCTCTTTATGTTACATCATTCTTAACTATTTGCTTTGCCAGTAAATAGGCCAGAGGGCTCATACTTGGATAGATTAAATCTCACAATTACATACCCCAAGGAACTGTCTCATTTTTTAAAATTATAAATGCATGAGTAAATGTTTTAAATACTTTTTGAAATGGGTGGGACATTGTCTGTAACTTGCAAACATTTTAATTGGTACCTCATTTTACATAAGGGCTATTATATTTCTGAAAATGTGTATATAAATCAAGTTTTAAAATCAAAACCTATTTCCAATATACTAGGGAGTTGGCTATTTAAAAGAATCCTATGGCTAAACATTTTTTTGAAGAAAAGGATCCTTTTGTAAAACAAACCACCACAATCTTAAATTTCTATTTTGTGTTAATTTAGATTTCAAGTACAGTTTAAGTTTATTTAAAGTGAAAAATACTTTCAGATGTTTTCACTGTCATGTGACCCATTTTTAGAAATGGAAAATATGTATACTTTTCAAAGGAGAAGAAGAATTCTAAAAGGAACACTTTTCAGTCCATGGATTGACATACATCATTCAGATTCCCTAGTGATACAGCTGCCGTGTGCTTCCAGGTCTGTTGGAAGCCATGATTTTACCTTTAAGAGCCCCAGGGCAGGATACGAGATGTTTGGAAATTTTAATTCAAGTGGTTCCTGTTAAAGAAAAGAAAACAGGGATTTTATTTACAGCATATATTCAAATATAAGGTTACCTCAGATTGAATTTCTTTTGAGTGAGAGAAGCATCTTCCTGGCACCTTCTTCCCCTCTTCCACTCTCTGCCCACCCCACCTCCCTGTGTCTGTTTCATAAGCTCCTTCTCTCCCCACCTCCAAATTGCTTTTCCAAATTTTCTTCCTAACTTCACTTCCTGAAGAACTGATACAGGTAGCAAATTGTGAGGGAATACTAAGGAAAGAAAAAAAACCCAAAACACTCGTCAAGCAATTGTTATTTCCTTTTTTTCTGCCTCAACTTATATAACTTGCCTTGCCTTAGAATAACTTTTGGCATTTATCTTGGCATTTATAGAAAGGGGCTCTGATTATTGCATTTATTGACATTTACATAAAGGGAGCTACAAAATAGATTTTTTTCCCCAACCCAGAAAATGTTTCTTGGTTTTCTGGAATAAACACTGTTCTCTCATCCCACAAGAGCCTGCTGTTTCCCTGATCATCCTACTGTTTAAAGAGTCTCCTGAGCAGACAATTCATCAATCTCCCTTTGGCCCTTTAAGGCTATTTTGCTCCAGTCACAGGCAGGAGACAATCAGGAAAAATAAACACTATAAAGTAGAAGGAATGCCTATATCAGGCAGACAGGCCAGTTAAAGAGATATACAGCTGATAAAGAGGCTAAAGAGGAGGGGAGCTGAGAAATTAAGAGCTAGCCAAGCGGAGTCAAATAAATGACCAGGTGTGTTGTGTGTTTAAAGATGGCAGTTCCCTGGTGCTGCCATCAAGATTAAGAGCACAGTGTTACTTGGGACAGGGGAACCAGCCAACAACAACCAATTCCTGAGTGTACAGTTATTCATCACTAATGAGAGATAGGAAACTCCAAAACTGAGGCTCTTAAGACCAACAGGGAAAAAAAAAATCCGAAAGCGGATTTGTATCAGCCTTTGAGAGCGGCCCTCTCCACCCCCATAGCTAAACTATTTCTCTTGCTATTTCTGCGTGTTGAATCTGAGCACCTCTGGGGATCGCCTTGACATTGCTGACATTGAGCCCTGCTGTCTCAGCAAGGACGCCTGGGACGAGGCCGGCTGGTTGGCTGTGATAGGATGGGCCCATCCCACCTGCTTAGCCGGTTTCCCTGCCCCAGAAGCAAGCAGGCCTCTCTGGGGCAGGGTTGCTGACCCGCAGAGGGACTGGGGCACAGATGTTCAACCAGCACAGCCCCCCCACTTCTTCTTCCTGTGTTTCTGTCAACAGGAAATCCCCTGCAGCACAACCTCTGGGAAACCATAGGAAGCCTTTTACACTGATGAAACTGATGAAACCTGGGTTGTTTCGGAGGCTTCCCCGGTAGAAAAGCGAACAGGAAATCGCTAAGGGATATTTAGCGTGAAACTGGGAACATCCAGCTCACAAGGGAGCCGGCTGGGTCACCTCCCATATGCCAGGTGTCATTCCTG